TTGAGTTATAATATGAACGAAATATATAAGTTAACTGTTATATAAATATTGGATTATATAACAGTTAACTTAGTTTCTATTATATAATTATTATACAGTCAAAAGTCATTAATCCGGACTCGTCGGGACTTCGGCGATTCTCGATTATCGATTTTTCCGGATTATAGATCATCAATTTAAATCTGGTAAGATGGCATGCAGAAATTATAAAATTAAAAATATGAAACCGTAATTTATGAAATAAAGAACAATTATGATCTAAAGGGTATCAAAATTTACAAAAAAAAAAAAAAAAAAAAAGCTTAATATTTATTGGTTTACTTTATTAAACATTTCTTTCCAATGTAAGTTTGTTTCATTTTTTATGTGATAATACATTCTCTTAAATTCTATAAACAGACATAATTTCTTGTTCAGTTACAAAGTTTTGCTGTTCAAGTCCTATAATTGCTGTGTCGAGAATACCGACTAATCTGTCAATCGAAATTTTTTCGTTTTCAATAACCTCTGTCACTTTCTTCGCTGTCGGAAGCGAATTATAATGATGAGGAATTTGATTTAAATCATATCAAAGACGGAGTATATCAAGATGAAATAATACATTTAGTAAGGAATTAAGCCAAATAAAATAAAAACATCTGCCCTGAAGATAAGGATAGTGCTGACAGATCAACTTCCAATTCATTGCGCGCTGTGGCGTTAAAGATAAACAAAGCTTAGATAAACAAACGTTTAAGTTTAGATAAACAAAGGATATGCCTTTATCCATTTTTTGCAGCTATTCCACTTTTTGTTTGATGGACATCGGAACATGCTTTCGCTTTATAGATCCTTTGATAGCTCCAGAATCGGAAATTCTTTTTGACATAATCGAAAGTTCAAGCTTACTTTTATAAAATTGCTCTAAAAACAGTCTGCAAAAAATAATAAGCCGAATCCAATTAGAAGATTAAGGAACAGCGCAATCTGCAACATTAACTGAATTAGATAATTTTAGCTTAGCTTATACCGTCCGTTATACATTAAACGCGCATTTGTAAACATATTTTGCGCATGCGTGTATGCCTGTTCGCAGCCGTAAAGGTCGTACGCGCATGCATCAACTCGACGCATGCACAGAAATTTTGTAGCTTTGAGGTCCGGATTATGGTTGTCCGAATTAACGACTTTTGACTGTATAAGTTAACTGTTATATAATTATTAATACTGTTAAGTGAATCAAGTTTAGAGTGTCGCTATAGTAAACAAATACTAGAGTGAATTTTAAAGAATGCATTTATTGTATTGTGGTTTATGCGCTGTCGGCAAGTAGATTTAATTCAATCCAATAAGTTTAAAAGAAATGTAAGAAAAAATGCTTATAATTTAATATTCCGTACAAGGAAGTCATATGCTGTACACATCAGATTTTTTTTCCAAAATATTACTGGCTTTTTGCTGTTACAGAATTGGTTTGGATAATTTTTCTTTAGTATTTTTGACATTGCAGCTTGAAAAATTTAGAAGGATTTGAAGGCAAGATTTATAGACCCACGGTTCTAGAAGATTCGAGAAATATGTGACAAAGTGAAAAATGTCTCCATAGTATCAACGCATAATGGATGTATTTTACAGAATGTTTGCGATGAATTTCTTACTTTTTTGAGAACATCTGGAAGAACAATGAAGACATAATATTTAAGTGTTTTACTCCTGATACTAGAATCTTTTTCTTAACATGTTTATCTTCTCTACTTTTCACTAGACACAAGCATGGAAAATATGAAAAATGCTTCTAATCGTATTACTTGGGCAGACATTATAGATAGGGATTTTTTTATTAATAAAGAAATTGAAAACTTACAATTTAAAAGATCCATCTATTATGTTTTAATGCATCATACAATTTATGAAAGGTTGACAAATTAGGAGATAAAGCACGCAGAAACTAGCGATAGCATTGGTTTGGCATATTGAGACAATCTATAATTATTGTTAGAAAGATGCTTTAAGAGAAGGAAATCGTATAAACTAGTCAAAATGTTTGGGAAGGCTTCAAATTAAAATGATAGATAATATTTTGTTGAGTGTTGTTGTTACAAACATAAATGTTTTGTAGCTTTTAATGTGTAATTATTCTAATATTGTTTAAGAATCAGTGTCATAAATAACATGTATTTTCAAATGTGAAATTTTATTAGATTTTGATTTTTATAGGGCTTTTTTAACAAATATTGTTAAAAAATAAAATTTAATAGTGGCCATATAAATCCATAATGACTACGGTTACCTATTTACCTAATTTATTTATTTATAAGTAACTGCTTACTCTTAAAAATTATCTCTACATATTAAAGCAAGTTATTGCCTATCATTAATACTCACTGTGGTCAAAAGATAAAACACAAAAATGTAGAAATTCAAGTAAAGCTTATTCTTTGCATCTAGTGAGACTTAATACAAAACAACTTATCACCTCTGGTGCATTAATGGCTTATTGGAATCTGAAAGTATATTAACTGTGTTACAACCCCTGGAACTCTACATGAAGCTACGACACTAACTGCATCAGAGCGTGACTAACTTTCAGCACTTGCCAACCGTGCCTACATCATGCCTTTCAGGTTTGTTCTAATCAGCAGGTCTCTCTCTAGACAAGCAACAGCGGTGATAACATTCAGTCTTTTGTTATGAATGATGCTGATTATTATACTTCTCATTTTAACCTATGCTGCTTGACATAAAATCTACCTGCTATTTACTAAACCTCTAGACAAGCGGTTCTCAACCTTTTGGCTCACGTGTACCATCTGAATAAAAATTGAAAACCTGTGGTACCATCAAAGTACTACTATCACCACCACATTTGAACAAAGCTCAGATCGCATAAATTTACGAGTGCTAGAGAAAAAACTCAATCAGGATGTTGGGGTTTTAATTTTTGAAATAAATAGTAAAAAATACTTTGCTTCTTTGTGTACCACCTATTTTTTCTTGCGTACCACCGGTTAAGAACCTCTGCTCTAGACTGACCAAGTATGTGACAAAATGACATAAAAAAATCAACATAAAGCTAACTATTAGTAAAATGTAAATGTCACTTATTTTCTTTCAAATATGTCCAACCTAGTATAAGTGTAAAATATTTAATGCTACTTGATAAACTACATGAAGTTTATTTTATTCTCAAATTAATAATTATGTTAATTAATTTATGTTTGGTATTAATGCAACATACTACTTAGGGATCTTTTTCTATTTTTAGGATGGTATTAGAAAAGTGAAGTGAAATTCAGGCATAGAATAATATTTTTAATTGAATTTAATCAGTTCCCATATGCTAATAGGTCATTAATTTTTTTTCATTAATGGTCCTTAAAAGTGCTTAATTTCCGTGTGCAGAAATGTGTACGAACGATGTATATGTATTTCATCATACTGCTCACCAAGCCTGATGAAAGCAACAATGATAATCAGATTGCATATGTAGTGGTTAAGTTACCATCTTTTTGGAAAACCTAGTTTAGCACTATAGTTTCTTAGATTTGAAGCACAGTTTTTCTCGACTGAAATTACTTGTGAAACCACTCAATTTAATAAAGTTGTGGCTGCAGTCAATGCCGATATAGTCAAATTTGTAAGTGATATTATTGTTAAGATTATTATTTAGAGACCTCCGTTGTTTATCCCATCCAGGAAGACACTTAAATATAGTCTTCTGTATTTTAAGAACTTTTTGTGTGGCCAAAAATGGTAAAAGACGTATCGATTTGAGCACAATCATGCTTATATCGCTAAAAATTTAAAAAAAAAAAAAAAAAAAAAATTAACCTTTTACAATCATTTCCTGTTGTTTCTCAAAGTTTCAAGTGCGTTCATCTTGACATTGGGAGACCTTTGCATCCTTGTAAGAGACAACCTGTATATATATATAAATTTTTTAATCATTGGCCTAAAGTGATATATGTGCAGGATATTATGGCTGAAGCTGTCTCTCATACTTTTCTAACTGTAAAGAAACTATATGTATGTATCTATCACAGTGAGTTGTTTAGTCTCGCCCCTGTTCAGAGTATGCTTCTTGTAACTTTTTTTTATTTGATGTGAAAGTTGTTAATGTGAAGAAGGTGACTAATTTATTAAGCGAAATACACTCGTATGCAAAAATTAAGAGAATTTTCACATTGTCAAATTTCTTGGATCATAAGATTCAAAGTCCCAAAAATTATAACTAATGACCAAGAACGAGAATTTGAGTCTCATTTAATTTCCTCAATCAACAAGCTTTTAGGAATTTGATGTGCTCAAATTTCCCATATCACCCATCTAGCAATGGGCTGGTTGAATAATTGGTAAAAGTTTACAATTGAATGCCCCTTGTTTTTTGGTGCCAAGATCAGCACCAGTAGGGCACAGTTTCAAGATGGCCGCTACACAAAAACAAAATAAGAAGTCAAAGAATTGCACAAACTCAGTGTCTATGTACACATTGATCTATTTTCACTTAAAAAACATCAGGAAGCAAAAACTAAGTTAAAATTATCATGGTAATCAGAAATAAGATTTTCATCACCAAAACTGAACATTGTTTGTCGTCAATCGAAGGGGTACCCAATTCTACACTAGAGCCAAATGATTTTATTAGACCTGTACACAAGCCTTAAAAAGTCATAATGATACATGCTGCACATAAAATTTACCTTTTGTCCTTTCTGGCCTCTGCTCAGCTTTCAAAGAGGACCTTTGTTGTACTTGTTTCGAGTTGCTGTAGGGAGTTTGTCCATACCAGGAGAATTTTGACAGCCTCATCTAAATTTTAAAGTTAAAAATAATTATGATGCAATAGAGTTAAAGAGAAAGGAATTATTTTAAGTTCAAGAAAAGTCATTGAATGTTTTTTAAAAAAATTAATAGTTGTTACATTAAAGGTTTTTATTTATTTATTTTTATTTGCAGGCTAAACAGTTATTTTGTGTTCTTTTATGCACTTTATATTCACATCAAGTATTTACTGTTTTCAGAAATTAGATGAACTTGATGCAGCGCATTACACTCCCCATAAAAATAAACTGGATGGAAAGCCAAAAGAGAAAATGTCGGCAGTAGATGATAATAGTGAGTTAGTTTTGTATTTTTCTCTATTTATTAAAAAATATGTTGTAAAATTATTTTAAAAAATTTTTTTCGCATAATTTATCTACTGGGCATTCTAACTTATTCTTTATTTCCTTTGATGCAGTTTTGTTCAATAAGAAAATTTCTTTCTAAACTCTTCTGTTATGTTCTAGATTATTATTATTATTTTTTTTATTTAGCTGCATAAAAATTCCTTAGAGAGCATAAAAATAAGTATATTTTTACAAATATATATAGAAATAATTTTGTTTATGTGATTTGCCTCACTATGTTGATTTTATTTATAAAAAATATGTTTAAAACTGAACCATTCATTATGTAACAGAAAAGAAAAAACAATAGCATATATGATTCTAATTATTGGCATTTAATTGTTGTAAAGATATGTACATGAATAACAGTTAATCAGCATTTCATTTTGATTTTGCTGTTTAGTATTAACTCCTGTAATTGAATATTTAGTATGTGTATTTATAATCAATAAACTTTGGTTAAGCTTTATGGACTTAGTTAAACTCTGCTATAATACAGTTTGGTTCGCTTTAGTTGATCTGATAAGAAAAATGGTTTATTTCATGTGTAAAAAATTAATGATAGATAATAATAAAACTAACATTTTCATATATTAATAGAAATAAATAATAAATCTAATTAAAAAATTCATATTAAAATTTAATTGCAGTTGTTATGTGCAGCTATTAATTTGTTATTCATTCTTTTCCAGACTAAAAAGTGTCTGTCAAACTCATAGGCCTTCGTCTCAAGCTTTTGTCCAGATATACACAGATTATGGCTTCTAATAGCAAACCGTTTGGTACTTACATATTAACACCACTGCAGCAGAAGTTGCGCTGATGCGCCAATAAAGAGCAATCCTGTGGTTTGCATGCTGTTATCTTTTGGATTCCTTTTTGCCTTGTTGTTTGCTGATTTTTGACGTCATTTTTTAGTGCTACGAAAATGCGTCTTTGGGATTTACCAAACACAGAAGATGCAATTTTATTTTTTCAGGAGCGAAATATTTTACCAAAAAAAAAAAAAAAAAAAAACGAAAATGTACCAACTCGCATGATATGAAACTTTATTTTGGTAAACGTGTGTTTTGGAAATGTAATTTAAGACAGTGTGATCAGGAGTGATTTTAGGTTTAGATTGGCGGCACTTAAAAACCACCAGATCTGCAGCTGCAGTGTCGTTAATACATAAGTACTATCATTTCTACAATGCTTCTTCTATATCCCTGTGCTCTATATTTCTGAACTTTTTTCTTGTATCCAAATTTTTTCCCATGAGTGGAAATAATAAGAATTTTGATTTTTTCACATATACCAATGGTACATGTGAATAAACTGTATTTTTGGCAGATATTGATAAGGCTGAATCCGTTTTGTATTTTTCAAATAATGTTCACCTTATCTTCAATGCACAAGCTTTACTTTTACACCTTAGCATGTGGATGAATTGTTGATTGTTGTAGTTTATGGCGTATACCATAAGAGGTTATAATATCCCAAAAATATTATCAATCCATTCCAGTTTGTTCAATGTGATGATAATATTAAACTGTAAAGTTATACTGATGATAATTTTTAAGTTGAAATTTTGACGCAGTGCAGAGAGTTTGGTCAAAAACATATAAGAGTTTTGCTGCTTTAGAAAATATGACAAAGGAAGATAATTTTGTCACCTATTTGTCTACCTACCACTAGCCAGAGAGAATAGAGTCATTTTCCTCAATATATATATATGATTGCAACGCAAAAATTCCATAACCATTATAAAGAACACATTATGCCTTGCAAAAGGCATTACGAATGCCAAAAGCCCTCTTCAGAGAATTTGGAGAGCATTTATATTCAAACTGTTATGTATAATAAATATCACAGTACAATAAATACAATTGTATTCATTTTAATACCAGGTGGTTATTATTAAACTTTCCTTATAAATGGGATCTTACAGTGTAATTGAGTGAACAGAATGCAACGAAATTTTGTATGTGGGCTATACATGAGTTGCACTCACGAATTTCGGAAAAAAAAAAAAAAAATTGTTTCCAAAATGTCCACCAGATGATGCCTTTTCAGGAAAAACATGAAATTTAACAAAATAAATGATCAAAATGGAATGCAGAAACAATATTAACCACTTGCCTGATTATCCTGAGTTATCTTGGGTTCGTATATATTGCAGTTAATTATTATCCCCAGAAAACTCGGGCGAAGCAGAATTTGTTAGTACAATTTCTTTTATCACGGTTTTATTCAGTCTGGAGGAAATGAAAGGATATTTAGCTTGATTGGCAATTTGCAATTTGTTGGTTGCCGATTCTTTTGAGGAACGGTCACTTGTTTCCCTATTGTATTGTATACGTTGGCTTGTGGATTAGTATGTATAAAGAAGGATGCATGCGTTGGAAAAAAATAAATGATGGCGATGATGCAAGATAGCGAAAGCGATGATTTTTCAGATAATATTATGAAGAGGTGGGAGAACAAATCAATCCACGAGACAGTGTACTCTGTGCTCCGTGAAGAGATTTCAGAGTAAGCCAGTAAGAAAAGAGACCAGATCAGTGTAGAATGTCGGGCATCACTCTGTGTTGTCCCTGTTTCATAAACATAAACAAGGGACAAGAGTGATGCCCGCTTCATAAATATCATACAAAGATTAAATTTAATTTTTTTTGTTGCCCGAGATAACTCGGATAGTAAACTAATATTAAAAATAATGCTTCACACCTTCAAAAATTAAAATTCAACTTAAAACCTACATATTTTGATTGTTCGTTTTTTGTATTTAATAATAAAATTTTTAAAAAAAAATGTGATGATTTTTTGCAATTTTTTTCAAAAAAATTTGTAAGGGAAGCAGTTAACAATCCAGAACAAGAATTGTGAGTAAGAAAATGCAAAACCAGGAAAAGCTATCAGTTGTAGGAGAAAAATGTCGCGATTTGCATGCTTGGGAAGAGGAGGAAACTTTATGCAAAACAGGTTAGGGTATAAAACATTTGCAGATGTTGTCATGTTTATGTTGATGTTTCTGGCTGTACTAATGACGTTCTTTTTGGTTGAACGTGTGTTATTGGTAAAGCTGTTTTACAAAAACAAGGGGAATGCTTCTGCTGCATTTCGTGAATTTTGTCATAGAAAGAACCTATGACATGGGCCAATGTCTACTAAAGGTACCTGGGCCATGATTAAGAAATTTGAAATTAGGGGAAATTAGGAGTTCAACCTGAAAGAGGCCGTAAACATGTCACACAGATACTTGTTCATGCCGTCAAGACAGCTGTTGACGCACAGTCACAGACATCAGAGTTTGGGGGCAGTAGTGTGCATGCAATTTTTCGACAGACAGGCTATTCTTAAGCACCGTTCGAAAAGTTCCCAGAAACATAATGCACTACTCCTGATCAAAATCCACCATACCCAGGAGCTGCTTGATAGGGACAAGCGACAATGTCTCTCGTTCTCAGAATGATCTGTCATGGCAATGGAATATTCTGTATAGCGACGAGGCTCATTTCTACCTCAATGGGACAATCAACACACAAAATTATTGCTTTTGGGCTAAGGAAAATCCGCAGATCCACACTGAAATCTTGTGGGAATTCATGGCAGCATTCATCCTTGAGTCATTTTTCTTTGAGGAATTTGGTGAACATGAGCCTGTCACAGGGGCCATCGGTACCATGACATGCTGCAGACGTTTGTTTTGCCTCAACTACAGCAAAGGCGAGTACTTACATCAACCATTTTCATGCAGGAGGGTGCACTCCCACATATTTATGGGTCTGTGAAGGCACTATTACTCCAACATGTAACAGAGGAATGTGTTATTAATCGCTCCTTTCCTAATCCATGGCTGCCACGTTCACTGGATCTAACTCCATGTGATTTGTGTGTTGGAGGTGTTGCGATGTTGAATGACTTTAAAAACTCCATAACGCTTCATCTGCAAAGCCTCATAACTGATCAGTTATGATCTGCTGTTGAACACATTGTCCATCAATTTGAAATTTTGAAGGGCACGAGGGTGATCACGTGGAGCACCTTTCCCTACATTGTTCTACAAGATTAACAACTGCTCTTCTTGTGCAATTTCATCCTAATCTGTTCTTGTTTCTGCAAACTGAACTGTTTTTGTTTCTATCTTACCTTTACTTAATATGTCTCGATGACAAGGTGATCAGAAACTAGTCAATAAAGGTTAATATTGCTTCTGTATTCTATTTTGGTCATTTATTGTGTTAATTTTCGTGTTTTTTCTGAAAAGGCGCCCTGTGGTGGACATTTTAGAACTAAATTTTGTTTTTCGAAATTCCATGAGTGCATCTCGTGTATAGCCCATATACAAAACTTCATTGCATTCCGTTTACCCAGTTGTGCTGTAGGATGCCGTTTATGGGGGAAGCTTAATTATAACCACCCGGTACAATATATAACATTTATATTATAACAAACTGATAAGGATGAAAACCTTTTATTCCCTAAATGAGGAATAACTGCAAAATTGCTATTTCCTAAGATTTGCTAATTTCCTCTTTCTTTGAATAGCAAATATTTTAAAATTTCCATCATAATGTTGGGTTTGATTAGCGTTCTATTTGGCAGCTTATTTAAAGAATTTGAATGGGATTAAGGAGCCCATTCTCATTCAGTGGTCATGTACAATATATGGTGTCCAAAGATATGTTTACTGTATCCTCATTCTCTTGGAGTTGGGTGTCACACCTGTCTTGCATAGCCTTTGTTTGGAATTTAAAGGAAAAGGGGTGAAGATAAAAGAAAAATAGTAAAGCTGTTTTCCTTTACAAATGGAATATGGATCCAAATATCCTAAACTTGGATGATTTTAACAATTAATTTTTTTTCTTAAAACGTGAGAAAACTCGGTGAAAAATATAAAAAAGACAAAAAGCATTTCAATGAAAGACATCCGTATGGTTCGTTACATACAGTTTTCATATTGTTGGAGGTTCGCTTTAACAGTATTAAATAATATTAAGTGGAAACTGGATAAGCTGGATGGGGCCAAAAGGTTCATTTTTTATAAACCGGGTTTGTTATAGTGGAGTTCATTTCTGTTATGGTTTCTTTTCTTTTCTGAAAGGGCTGAAACTGTCTTAAATCTCTAAAATATATGCCGTTTTAAATAGATTTGTATAATTTTGTGATGAATTCTTATTTTAATTTTCCTCAGTGAAAATTAAGTCATTTTAAATCTAAATTAGTCTCGATTTGATGTTTCTTGTGTATCCATTCTAAATTAAAGGAGTGGTGTTTTGTTTTTGTTTTGTTTTGTCGTCGTTGTTAAAGTGGCCTCTGCAAAAGCCTTTGGTTATAGTTGAAATTTGCAAGTTATTGACTGGGAAGTTACCAATTTCGGTGATTATACATGGCAGCTGCTTTAACAAAGAGTTTATAAAATTACAAAAGTTATATTAAATGACAGCTTAAACAAACAGCTGTTATTTAATATTTAGAATAAATAGGATTTTGCTCATTTTTTGTTCCTCAATTTGAGAACAAAATAAGTTTGTAAATTGCCAAAGGACAAGAAAATTTCTTCAGTTTGATGAAGATAATAAATATGTGTTAATGAATTTATTAATAAATTAAATATTTATAAATAACTGATTTTATTTATTTATTTAAAGAGGTAATTAAAATGAACAAAAATTTCTAAAAAACTGAATCTCAGGTATTTTGCAAATTTATTTATTTTAGAAGTATTATTAATGATGCAAAATGTTCTATAGTGAATATGCATATTAGAAAAATTTTCATTTCTGTGCTAAAAATGTGGATATGATGGGAATATAATAGCATTATTTTATCACTTTTTTCCAGTTTCTGATTTTGATAACAGTGATGAGGATTTGGCCAGCCTTCTTGCTGATGATGATGATATATTTGGAAAAAGAAATTCTAGCAGTCTGCCATCTAAAAAGTTGTCTTCTGATCGTAAGACATTTATTTTTTGTTTGTGCAAGGGAATGTTTTTACCCTAGGGCAGGGGTTCTCAACCGGAGGTACGCAAGAAAAAAATAGGTGGTACTCAAAGAAGCAAAGTATTTTTAATCATTATGTTCAAAAATTAGACCCCAACATCCCAATTAAGTTTTTTCTCTAACACTCCTAAATTTATGCGATCTGAGCTTTGTTCAAAAGTGGTGGTGGTAGTAGTACTTTGTAGTGGTGGTAGTAAAGGTTTTCAGTTTTTATTTAGATGGTAAGCATTAGTCAAAAGGTTGAAAATCGCTGCCGTAGGGTTAAAATTACTAAAATTGCCTTAGAAATCTTAATGCAATGATAAAACTTGAGTAGTTTTTGATTTCATTCATAAATCTACTTTTAATAGTTACATTGCTATTACAATTAGGATACTTTCTGATTATCCTCATCATCAATAAAAAGTTGCAAACTTGTTGGTTACTTTAGAGAAAAAATGTTTGGGTATCTTTCTATACCTTTCAAAGATGCATCCACTACTACCTGTTTTGTAACATTCATCTTTTTTCGTGTAAGACTTCTCAGTTTTTTTTTTTTTTTTTTTTTTTTTTTTGTGTGTGTGTGTGTGTGTGTGTGTGCTGCTGCTGTTCTTCCTATGTACAGAACAATCCATTTTTGCTAAACAGAACATCATAGAATTGCACAACTCGACAGTGCACACAACCTCAGCACTCAAATTCTAAAATGAGAAAGAAAAGAGGTGCATGATGCCTTTAAGTGAGCCACATTATGCTTAGGTAAAGTATTGGAAGTTAATTCCAATACTTTACCAAAAGTAATGTAAACACGATATGGTCTAATGCTATGCTAAAATTCTGTAAGGAAAGATTATAATCTGCTGTCAGTTGATGAAAATGTCCAGAGAAATGCAAAACATCTGGGGGAATGCTATGCCTATACATGGGTTGTCGCATAAATGCTTTTGACAGCATGGTGTATTGCTTCGTCAGTACTTTTTCATTTTTTCGTGGTTTTTTTAATGAGTATGGGGATAAACAGAAAACTCCAAAATTGCCCTTAAACTTTTTTTCATGCTATTATTTACCAGTAATTAAATTACAGAATTGAGAGTGACATTAATTTGTACATGTAATATCATTTCCCTTGAAATGCGTTTTATTTTCTTGAATATTACAGTATAAATATATTATAAAATGAGTAAATTTTAACATGTTGATTGCCAACCATGAGATAACTCGTGACTGACAGTCTTTGATACACTTACCTAGAATAATTATGTGATTTCTTTTCTGTATTAGTTTGTGTCCCTTCTCAGAGCATTCAATGAGGACGTAATATATGTTTTGGGGCAATCTGCCAACTTTAGAACTTCAGTTATCAGATCGTTGTTGCATGAGTGCTTATCTTTTCCATTTTCCTAATAAACATTAGTTATCCCTGCGATGAAGTTATAATTCAATTTATTTATATAACAGGTTATGGGCCCACTAATTAGGAGAAATCTTTTATAAAGGCGTATAGTAATATTTTGAATCGGCATACTGGATTAAAATTGATTAGCAGTGATTACTTTCGTTTTCTTCTTTCATTTTTAATGATTACATAATGGCAGCTGTGGATCTAAACCACATCTACATCGAATGACCGAAATTACTATACTTGGAAGTTAAAACTGGAACTCTTGCTGATTAAGGAGGATTTATGAGATATTGTTATTACAAAACCTCCATCTCCAGTAACTACAAAGTGGGTTTCGAAAAACGGAAAAGCTAGAGCAATTAGGACTTTTATTGGACGATAACCAATTAAGACATATTAGGAAATATATGATTGCAAAAGAGGTATGGAATATTCTCAAACAATACCATGAAAAGTCAACCTGTCTTGAAAGATTCGGTTTTTGTAAAAGCTGTGTAATTTGCAGCTCAGCAATAAAGAACAAATGAGCAATCATCTAATGAAAATGGAAGCTATTGTAGATCAATTAGTGCACTAGGTGACAAAATTTCAGAACCTTTATTCATTGCATTTATTTTAAGTAGCTTACCTGAAAATTATGCTACATTAATAACACCTTTAGAAACATGACCAGAACGAGATTCAACTGTTGAATTGGTTAAAAATAAATTGTTGGAAGAGTATACTCATAAAAAAAATAAATAAATAAATAAAGAAAATAAAGAACCTTGTACAGGAAGCGAGAATAAAGCTTTGAAGTCGTATTCTTCGTTAACGTGTAACATTCCAACTGCTAAAATTAAAGTACCTAATTGTTCCTTTTGTAAGAAATTAGGGGATTTAAAGGCTGACTGCAGGAAATATGCAAAATGGGAGCTTAAGCATAACCAAAAGGAACAAGTCAATGCAACTATGAATTCAAGTGACATTAATGAAGTGAAACAAGTTTTTAATCACCAGTGCTTTACAAGTGTGAATAATTTACATGGTCACTGGTGTATCGATTCTGGAGCTACCATTCATATGTGCAATGATAAAACTATGTTCAGCAGTTTTGATAACAATTCTGTTCCTAAGTGAATAGCTTAGCTAACGGTTATACAGTGCTTAGTCAGTGAAAGGGTAATTGCTTGGTAAAATATTAGAATAATCAAAATGAAGAAATACAGATTATGATCAAAGATGTGCTTTTTGTTCCACAGCTATTTGGAAATTTATCATCCATAAAGAAGCTGTTTGATAATGGATATGAAGTGAACTTTAAAGGTGCAGAATGCCATGTTGTGAACAATGATAATATAATAGCTTTCAGCTACATCAAAAGAGGATTGTATGTTCTTAGGAAAGTCAGCATGCTCTTCATACGAAGCAAGTCCATATGGAATGAATTCATGGCAGGCATATAAAATTAGGTCGTAGAAATCCTCCTGATATTTTAAGGATGTTCAATGAATCTATGGCTAAAGGTATGGATATTGCTCCCTGTTCTACTGTATTGACATGTGAGGATTGTGTTGCTACCAAAGCATGCAGAGAATCATTTCCTAGAAAGTCTACTTCGCGAATGTCCGAGATACTCGGTTTAGTGCATACAGATTTTTGTGGACTAATACAAACTGAAACTCCAGATGGTGCAAGATATATGCTAGCAGTAATTGATGATTATAGTAGATACTCTAAAGTTTATCTTCTGAAGCATGAAGAAACTAAACACTTCATCAAACATGTATTAACACAGTTTGGGAAAGCATCAAAATGACTGAGATCAGATCGAGGAGGGGAATGTACAAGCAACGACTTTGAAAAATCGTCGAAAGAAAATGGCATAATACATGAGAAAACTGTTCCTTATTCTCCGCAGCAGAATGGAATCGCTGAAAGAAAGAATCGTGCATTGATTGAGATAACAAGAGCGATGCTAAAAAGCTCTAATCTTCCAAACAAGTACTGGAGTGAAGGTGTTATTACAGCAAACTACCTGCAAAATTGGTTGCCGACAAGAGAACTTAATGTTACACCTTATGAAAAATGGCATAAAAGGAAATCATCATTAGCAAGCATATGGTACTAGCATTTGGTACTCCAGCATATGTGCATATACCAAAAGAGAAGAAGCAAAAACTTGACAGCACGTCTGTTAAACGAATCATGGTTGGATATGAAGAAGGAACAAAAAGTTATCATTTGCTGGACTCAAATACCAACAGTATTGTAATTAGTCGGGATGGGGCATTTATACCAAAAGATTCCCATCCTAAGGATAAACAGGAGGATACAGGTCTAATATTTTTAAAAATAATTCAGAAAAGGAATATATCTTTGAAAATGTAGAACTGAGGTGATCTCCTAGAAAAAACAAAGGTGTTCTGCCTGTGAGAGTTCATTCTCAACACAGTCAGAGAAAGCAGCAGATCCAACATCATATTATGAAGCTTGTTCAGGTGCCCATAAGGTGTGTATGGTGTATTTAATTATGGCAAAGCACACTAGGGCTATCTGCCTAAGGGGAGGGATGCCTTTGTGGAGAACTTTCTAAGGGAAACTGGCTCGTATACATGTTACACATGGGGAAAACCACGAAAACACCCATGCAGCCAGCCCGTTCGCGGAATTCGAACCTCGGACCGAACTACCAGTGTTCAGCGACTTTACCGCTCGGCCGCTGGTGGGCGGGTGCCCATAAGGAAAAATGGAAACAAGCCATGCAAGAACAGATTAATGCTTTAAAGATGAATGACACATGGATTTTGGCAAATGCACCTGAAGGGAAAACCATTATAGGCTGCAAATGGGTATACAAGTCCAAACGAGATTGTGAAGGAAAAGTATTTCATTATAAAACTAGATTAGTTGCTCAAAGGATACCAGCAGAAATATGGTCATGACTATGATGAAGCGTTTGCTTCAGTAGCCAAGTCAACTACTTTGAGAAGACTTCTTACCATAGCAGGAAAACGAAAAATGGTACTCAATAATTTTGGCTTGATACTCAATAATTTTTGGCTATTTTTTGTACTCGATACTCGAATCAAAGCCCGACGGGCTTTCGAGCTCTGTACGTACAAAATGTTTTTCGTTCTGCATTTTATTTTTAATTTATTCGTCAACATACTTCTTAAGAATCCTAGAAGACATTTTATTGGTGTCATAAACCTGCTCTTTTTTAAGTACATAAAAATTAAAACTTTTGTAATTGTATTACGGATAAGTAAAGTTAAACAATAAAAGAATTATAAATATATACAGTAAAATAATGCTTTTACCAGTTCCTTAACCTGAACAGTGTTGAAACTTGTTTTGGTAAAGAGATGAATTTTTTGCTGCCTACAGTATGTAGAAATGAAAGGATTTTTAATATTTACCGATAAAAACGATATACTTTTAAGTTTAAGTAGTAACGTGTATGTAATTTTAAATAATAATTGTCTTAGTATCAGTAAAAAAACAAAATTACAAATTGTTGAACATTGAAAATGCCATGTTTCGCAAAACAAAAATTTATTACAGAGTAATACGCAGAGAAATACACTCAG